CAAAAGAACAGTTATGAAATAGCACTGAAAATAATTTTATGGTTGGGGATCACCAAAGCATGAGGAACCGTATTAAAGGGTCACAGAATTAGGAATGTTGAGAACCACTGGCTTAGAAGGTTGGGGCAGTTTTCTAGAAGACGGTGTGCTTTGAATCTGCATCCAATGTCTGGTATGTTTTCTTCTATCCAGAATTCACAGGTCTAGCAGTCAATGAGGGAAAAGGGAATGGTACTACTCACAGGCACCTGTACTAGCAAAGATTTTACTTCCTGTTTCCATGACCTAGAAGTTTTAGTTCCAGAGTCCAGCATGTTTCTGCCAACAGACATAGGACACATTCCACTGAACTGGACACTACAACTTTCCCATGGTAAATTTGAGTTCCTGATTCCTTTCAGTCAACAGCATATGAATACAGTGTTACTGGGGATGATTGGCCAAACTATCAAAGGGAAATTAGATTGCTTGTCCAAAACAGAGCTAAGAAAGAGCATTATTAATATCAATGGGAAATTACAATAGCCCAATCCAGGCAGAATTATAAGTGGCCCAGATACTTCATGAATAAATGTTTGAGTTGCCCTGGATACAAAGTATGAAGACCTCTTTAGGTTCTTGATAAAAGAAGAGGGTATACAAAATGTGGTAAAAAGATAAGTACAAGTATAGCCGGGCGTTGGTGGCGCACGCCTTTAGTCCCAGCACTCGGGAGGCAGAGGCAGGCGGATCTCTGTGAGTTCGAGGCCAGCCTGGTCTACAAGAGTTAGTTCTAGGACAGCCTCCAAAGCCACAGAGAAACCCTGTCTTGAAAAACAAAAAAAAAAGATAAGTACAAGTATAAGATGTGGTGGTTTGAATAAAAATAGCCCCCATAGGCCCATAGGGAGTGACACTATTAGGAGATGTGGCCATGTTGGAATGGGTGTGGCTCTGTTGGAGGAAGTGTGTCACTGGGAGTGGGCTTTGAGGTCTCAAATGCTCAGGCCTGGCCAGTGTGCCTTAGTCTCTTCCTGCTGCCTTTGGATACAGATGTAGAACTCCCAGATCCTTCTCCAGCATCATGTCTGCCTGCACACTGCCACGCTTGCCACTATGCTTCCCACTGTGACAATATGGACTAAACCTCTGAAACTGTAACTCAGCCCCAATTAAATGTTTTTCTTTATAAGGGTTGCAGTGTTCATGGTTTCTCCCCACAGCAATAGAAACCCTAACTAAAACAGTTGCTTTGAAGTAATTTTTCCCAACTGGCTCCAAGCTCTACATGCCACTCTACTTCAAACCCCTGGCATGACTTTAAATCAGTTAAGCTGCATTCCTCTCTCTCCTTAACTTCCTCAAATCCAGAAAATCCTCCTTTCATCATTGTTCTGAACAGTAAATCACTCTCTTAATCCTTCCCTGGCAGCTCTGATTCTCCCTTGCCCCTTCAAACCCTTATTGATTTAGAGACAGGAGTTCAGCTTAAACTGTGGAAGTCACCCAAGCAGGACAATAGCATTGCTGACTGAGCTTCTGGGTGGGGCCCCTCCTACCAGGGATCATGTCAAAACAAGCTCAACTTACTGCCTTAACTAGAGCATTAACCTTGACTACAGATCTGTCAGGAAATATCTACACAGACACCAAACCCATCTGTTAAATCATGCATTCTCACATGCAAGGAAAGGGATCCTGACTACCAAGTACTCATCTAGAATTAATAGCACCCCAATTTTTGAGACAGGTCTCATTGTATATCCCTGGATGTCTTGGAACTTGCTCTGTAGACCAGGCTATCCTTAGACTCACAGAGATCCACCTGCCTCTGCCTCCCAAGTGCTGGGATTAAAGGCCTGCACCACCACCACCCAGCTTTTTCCCTAGAGGGAAGCTGTCCTTCATTGCCAGGGCACCAAGAATTTAATTGTGTCATTTTTGGCCTAGGAAATCCTAAGGTTGACAGAGGCACTAAATTTCCAGTCATAAGCCTCTCTTTGATCCTTCTTGCCTTGCCCATTTATCCTCCTCCTTTCTCATCTGAGAAAAATAAAAATTATCCAAAGAGGGAGTAACTTCAAATCGAGGTTGGTTTATTAAGGGTGAAAAAATCATTTTTACTAAAAAAGATTTACCATTTTAACAGCCCTCCAAAACCAATTCTTATGGTCTACTGCCCCTAATCCTGTCTCACACTTATTTGAAGATTTGTCTCTTATCAGAAATCTCCATGAGGTCACCCAGTCCTGCCTGGCATGCCCCAGGGACATCAGGACAATACCTTTCAGGGTAAATCTGACCAAGACTGGGGAATTGATTTTATGCACAAGCCACTCATAAAAGAGACGACATATTTACTGGTTATGGTACAGTTGTTGTTGAGATGTGTAAAGGATTTTCCATGAATGTCTAAAGGGGATGATTTTCTGATAAGTTGAAGCCATAACTGGGAGCCTATGTCTAAACCAGCCTGATTATATGTGTCACCTATCTGTAAGCCTGGGTGCCTACTTCTTGAGTTCCATTTTGCCTGGGTGCCTACTACCATGTGCCTGGTGGCTCATGTACTGATGGATAAAATAGGTCACATCTGCCTGAAAATAATGAACCAGGGGATGGAGAGATGGCTCAGAGGTTAAGAGCACTGAATGCTCCTCCAGAGGTCATGAGTTCAATTCCCAACAACCACATGGTAGCTCACAACCACATAAAATAAGAGCTGGTACATTCTTCTGGCATGCAGGCAAGCATTCAGGTAGAACACTGTATATATAACAAATGAATACAATCTTTTAAAAAAATGAACCAGGGTAGAGGTAGGAAGGAAAGAAATGAGAGAGAACATGAATGCAAAATTGGGGTTAGGGTCAGAAAAATGGGAATAAACCTACCACAAGACCCAGCAACTCCACTCTTAGGCATATACCCAAAAGATGCCCATTCATATAACAAAGATGTCTGTTCCACTATGTTCATAGCAGCTTTATTTGTAATAGCCAGAACTTGGAAGCAACCTAGATGTCCCTCACCCGAAGAGTGGATAGAGAAAATGTGGTACATCTACACAATGGAGTACTATTCAGCAGAAAAAAATAATGGAATCATGAGATTCGCAGGCAAATGGATGACACTAGAAGAAACCATCCTGAGTGAGGTAACCCAGTCACAAAAAGAGAAACATGGCATGTACTCTCTCATATATGGATTTTAGACATAGATCTGGGGAGGGCCAGCCTACAATCCTATGGCCAGACAGTCTGGGAAACAGAAACTACATTTAGTGGCTGGTTAAGTACTGAGCTGAACTCAAGAAAGCCAGTATCAGAGAGGGAGGACTGATGATCAAAGGGATTAAGACTGGGCTGGTTGAACCCCCAGAAACAGCTGACCAGACAAAGGTTAACTCTTGAATCCCAGGCATCAGCCTGGGAATCCAGCATGGGACTGATCAAGACCCCCTGAATCTGGGTGTCAGTGAGGAGGCCTAGGTAATCTATTGAGCCTTGGACAGCAGATCAGTACCCATCCCAAGTATACACACGGACTCTGGACTCCCATAGAACAATGTGAGGTGCACTCTCACCCTGAACTCTTGGGGAAGGGTCTAGGCCCTGCCCTATATGAAATGACAGACTATGGACACCCCCATGGAGGGCCTCACCCTCCCTGGTGGAATGATGGGATAACGGGGGGGGGGGGATGATGGGGGGAGGGCACGGGAGGAAGGGAGGGAAAGAGAGAGGGACCTGGAACTGACTTGTGAAGCAACCTTGTTTCTTATCTAAATTTTAAAAAAAGAATTAAAAAAAAAAGAAAGAAAAAAATTTTATACCCATGAAAAAAAAATTGGGGTTAGGGGTGGTTCGGTCATTAATAGCACCTGCTACTCTTACAGAGAACCTGGGTTCCATTCAAACACATAGCAACTCATAACCATCAATCTAGCTCCAGTGGATCCAACATATTTTGGGACTCTGTAAGGACCAGGACCACACAAAGTGCATACCCAAAATTGTAGGTAAAGCCTTACACATAAAATTTAAAAATTAAAATGAAAATATTTGAAAATGAAAAGTGGAATGTTGGGAGGGAAGGGGATCATTGCTGAGAGTTGGGAGAAGACAAGCAAGAGTGAGATTAAAAACATTACATACATGTATAAAGTGTCATAATAAAACATTATCATGTAATAATAAACACTACATTGCCACAGTTGCAGTGAGTTTCAGTGAAACAGCCATGGCTTCACAGGAACGGTATATGTGGACTTATGATCACCACTGTAAGGGAGAAGGGACCTGAATGCAGACTCAGTGAACTATGACTGAAGAAAGTAAGGAGTTTTGGGAAAAGGCTGTGCTCAGGGCAGAATTCACTCAGGCAGTACCCTGGTCAGCATGGAGATGCCAAGACCCCTTTAAAAGAAAGATCCCCCCACCCACTTATGCTCTCTTTCTCGTTCTCTTTCCTGTTGTTCCCCTGGGGCAGAAAGGACTTTTCCTGTCTCCTCTTCTGTCCTCCCTCTGTGTCTATGTCTCTGTGTCTCTCTACCTCTTTTCTCTGTCCTTCCCTCACAATTTTAACAACACTTTTCACCTAAGTTCTGTCTGCCTGGCATGTGCATCCCTCCAACTGGGTCACCCTCGCCTGCCATGGAATACGCCAAGGTTCCTCAAGTTTTATCATAACAACCATGGCTTCCATAACTATCTGTTCCTTCCTCTCTGCCCAATGCTCACACTGGGCCTGACTCCAAGAACAGTAAGGATGGTGACTCCAAGTTTGAGGTGAGGGCTGCAAGTACCCACGATAAATACCTTCTGAAGTCATGCTGTGCCTTGAAATGAGGCCAAAAAAGGAATACACATATACAAGTGCATTTGCCCCACCTGCTGAGCCCAGGCTCCTGTCAATTCTGCCTAGTCATCACAGCTCTCCTGCAACTTTGCCCTGCCCACCGAGCTCCAGTTAAAAAATCTGTCTGGACATGTTCTGTTTCCTGCTGGTGGCACACAGTGCATCCCATAGCAGTACAGACTCAGGCCTGAGAGCTGATCATGCCGTTGGACACCCTTCCTGGTTGGCTGAATGCCGTGGCCTGTGGGCTTCTGTTTCTTCTCCAAGTGCATGGTGAGGCTCCCTATGTGGGTGGTGGGGACCAGAGTTGCCAATTTTGGCAGAGTCAGAGGCTAAGAAAGTGATAGGGAAGGTAGCAGGAGGGAGGAGCAGGTAGAGATGACAGAGTGGGAAACTGGCCCCTGTAGCACAGAGACTCAGTGATGCCCAAGGACTCTCAGCAGTAAGGAGAGAGTCTCTGGCAAGCACTGGGCCTGAAAGTCAGAAGTACAGAGGGTTGGGGACAGAAGGACAGAAGTGCAGAAGGGGCATGCCCCAATCTGTGTGTGGGCCTTCCTGTGACTGTAGCTGCTACTGACCTATGGATAATAATAAAATTAATTCCACTGTCCTACTGTCATTGAGCTCCAAATGTGTCACACCATGAACAGAGGTGCATCCTGGTATACTACTCCAAAAAGGTCCCAGGAAACTTTCCTTGCCCTCAGACATACAGTTGTCCAACTGAGAGTACTGGGTTCCTGCCCCCATTTATCTGACCTTGGAAAAAGACACAACTTGGCTTCCAAGGCAAAGGGCATGTGCTCTGAGCCTGCCAGAGAATCTTCAGGCTTATGAAAAGGTGAGCCAGGAGGGTGCTGTGCCCAGAGTCTGTGTGCAGCCCTGAGGCCTCTTACCGAAAGGTATTCAAGCCTGAATCATGCTGTCCTCCTCCCAGGCCTCCTCAATGGGATCTACTCTAAGGAGGTCATGTTGACTTCACACTGTGACTCTTGCCTGTTGTCCCATTTCTAAAATGTTACCAGGGACTTCTGGACAGGAACATCTGCCCAACTCACACTTGACTTATTGAACTCTTGAACACTCTTGTTTGAATCCTGGGTTTAGAAAAACTGGTGACTGTAAGAGGGCAGAGAGTTGTGTCCCATCCTGGCCAGACTCATCCATGGGGACATCAAGATAAGATAGGTGTGACAAGGCAGAGGAGGCAGAAGGCTTTCAGCGCAAGCCAGCCTGGGCTACACACCAAGAACCTGTGGGGGTGGGGGAGTTAAATGTAGAAATGTGTTAAAACAATACCACAACAATTTCAGCATTGTTGATAATCAGGGAGGGAGTACATCTGGAAGTAAATTTGGACTGCAAATCAGGAATTTAAAATATCACATAAATGGACAGACAGCAATCCAATCAATGGTGACTTTTTGGTTTTAAATATGGCACAGATGACATTTGCTGAAATTTAATGAAAGAATAATGTTCTACTTTTTTTGCATTTCATAAACCCCCTTTATGTACATATGTCTGTTAGAAAGACATTGACTCTTGAGAAGCCTATATGGGTGATTAGAGTTGTGTTATCCTTTCCCTGTGTACTATTCAAACTCAGAATCTCTGTATAATAAACTCCAATTTGAAAATAAAAAAGGAAAAGGTGGGTAGATTTTTTTTCATGTATTAGGCTATGTTTTGCTGCCTCCTGACTGAAAGAATACTTCACTCCAATATATGACATTCCGAGGAGAGTTTTAGGTTTTGTGTGTTGCTGTAGCAGTGACAGGTATTAGTGACCCGTGTCCTCAGTGAGCAATATGGACAGAGATGTCACCTGGCATGATATTCTGTAGACAGCATGTCTGTGGTGACAGGGGTGAGCCTTCCACACTGGAAAGATGTTGGCAAAATGCCTTTTGATCCCTAACAGTGGCTACTGCCTTAATTACTTGGTGTCACATCAAGTAGCATCAAGCATGCAATCCATGATTATCAGGTGTGGAATATTCTCACTTCTTGTGGAAACAGGGCAGATCTGCCAAATTCTGCTACATTGGAGCATGATGCTGTGGAGACAAGTTGCCGGGGGTACTTGGAAAAGGCTGAGTTGAGGATAACAAGAAAGTAACAACATCCGCGGTGTAAAGGTAGATGATTGAGCAAACCCAGCCTTGATACTGTATGTCACTTCCAGGTCAAGACTCAGCCAGCCCCATCAGGACTACACACACAGGACAGGTTCAGGGCAGTCTTGTCCACTTCAGTGACACAAGAGAGGGTGTCTACACCTTCCTGGGAATTCCCTTTGCCAAGCCACCTCTAGGAAAACTGAGATTTGCACCCCCAGAGGCTCCCGAACCATGGAGTGGTGTTAGGGATGGAACCTCCTACCCAGCCAGGTAAGTTCTCCTGAAACTCAGGAAACTTCAGGCCCTGGAATGTGCAGGAGCACAGACCTCTGAGACAGTCTGCAGTGCTTTCTCCATCTCAAGCCCTCAGCTGCATTCTCTCTGTGATGGATACATACTGCAGGTACCAGAGAAAAAGCCAAAGTGATGATGGTTTCTTAGCAAATTCACCCTGCACAATCACTGTGCCAACCTATAAGTGGCCAAGAAACAAGTATATGTCTTCCAAGATTATTCAGTTTCTTGAGAGTATGAATATGAGGTAAAGGATGTCCCACCATCCTGCTTACTAATGCAGCATCCATATGGGTACAACACTCAAGCATCAAAGAGTGCCTAGAAAAGTAGTATCATTACACACCAATAGTTTGCACTGAAACTCATGGAAACATCAACATCCCATCATAAGGAAGACTAGGATCCAAGGCTCCTGTGCACCGAGAAGGCTCACTGCAATTTGAGCTCCATACCAGTTTTCCCAAAGCCTGTGACCTTTACCTTACTTGAAAGAGATTTTGGAGTAGAATCTCATGATATCAGGACATCATTGGGCCACAGGGGGGGGGGGGGGGTTGGTGGCTGAGAGCAAATATATACTCAGTTGTTTGTAACTACTGCATAGCTCATAGAATAATTGTCATTGTCCCCAGGTGTCTACAAAATTCTGAAACAAAGAATGCAAAGAGTCTGGCAATGATGAAACTGAGCATGACTCCCATCTCTACATCTGAGGACTGCCTGTATCTCAACATCTACACACCAGCTCATGCCCATGAGGGCTCTAACCTGCCTGTGAGTAGCAGGCCATGCTAGTTCTGGGGGGAGGGCATTTCTTCTGGATGAATAGAAGGGGCAAAATCAATCTGAGCTCCAAGAAGGATGGATCCTCTTTCTACATCCATTCAGCTAATCTGGGTCTTTTTACTGAGGAGCTAAGTCTGTTGTCATTGCAAGATAACAATGAAGAATGACTGTTAATTCCTGTTATTTTGGTGGTGGTGGTGATGGTGGAGGAGGTGTGTGTGTGTGTGTTTGTGTGTGTGTGTGTGTGTGTGAGAGAGAGAGAGAGAGAGAGAGAGAGAGAGAGAGAGAGAAAGAGAAAGAGAAGGTTCTACCAGTGTGAGATTATTTCCTGTATTTTCATGCATGTAGTTGACCTCCTTGGATTGGATTTTGCCTTCTGAAACTATCCACAGGCCTGATTTGTATATAGATATTGTTTAAATTTAACTTCATCATGGAATATCTTATTTTCTCCAACTATGATGGTTACAAGTTTTCCTGGGTATAGTAATATGGGCAGACATCCGTGGTCTCTTGAGTCTGCAGCACATCTGTGCAAGGCCTTCTGTTTTTTAGGGTCTCCATTGAAAACTCAGGTGTAAGTCTAATAGATCTTCCTTTATATGTTACTTGATGTTTTCCCTGCCGCTTTTAATATTCTTCCTTTGTTCTGTATATTTAGTGTCTTGATTATTATGTGGCAAGGGAACTTTTTTGGTCCAATCTATTTGCTGTTCTGCATGCCTCTTGTACCTTTGTAGGCATTTCCTTCAAACAGGAAATTTTTCTTCTATGATTTTGTTGAGAATATTTTCTAGGCCTTTAAACTGTTTGATATTCTTCTCCTTCATCTAATCCTGTAATTCATATTTGTTTTTTCATAATGTCCCAGATTCCTTGTTTGATTTAACATTTTCTTTGACCAATGTATTCATTTCTTCTATCATATCTTCCATGCCTGAGATTCTCTCTTCCATCTTTTGTATTATGTTGGTGAAAATTTCCTCTGTAGTTCTTATTCACATTTCAAATTTTTTCATTTCCAGGATTCCCTCAGTTTGTGTTTTCTTTATTGTTTTTTTCCATTTTGAATGGTTTTATTTGTTTTCTTAAACTGCCCAACACACACACACACACACACACACACACACACAGCTTGGCTTTCTTTAAGGGATTTGTTCATTTCCTCCAATTGTGTTTTTCAGGGTTTCTTTAGATAGTTAATTCATTTCCTCTTAAGGAGTTCTATCATCTTCATGTAGTTGATTTTAAGGGCTTTTTTCAGCTATATTGGAATATAAAATGCCTGCTGTGGTAGGATAGCTGGGCTCTGTTGAAGATACTGCCTTGGCTGTTATTGATTGTGTTCTTATGCATCTAGGCATCTGGGTTTAGGAAGATCACAGGTCTAGAGTATTGGTTTCTGGCTTTGTCTTTGTTCGGTGGGTGTTTTGTCCCTTAGTTACTGTTTCCTCACTGGGTTTTCAGAGTGTGTTGCCTCTCTTACTGGCCTGCTCAGCCAGTGTGTTCACTGAGAATACTTGGTGGTGTTGGAGGCAGGGGAAGTGGAGGCCAGAGGTGGGATGATCTACTGCAATGGTATGGGTGACCCAGAGAATTGGGGAGCAGAGAGAGTGAAAATGTCCCACATCAGTCTACCTGGTCATCTGCCAGGTATAGCCTACAGTTGAACAGAGGATATCTGCCCAAGTTGGAGGTTGGAACATAGTGATAAATTTGGGACAGAAGGCCAGTGGAGGGGAGGGGGATATGAAGAATTCACAGGAGTGGAAAACAGGTTGAATGGAAGCTTCAGCTGGTGTTCTGTTGCAGTGCTAGGGGCAACCCTGAAAATCATGAGTAAGAGAGGGGGGAAGGTCCATGGGCAGCCTACCTGGTCCCAGAAATCTGGTATTAAAGGCGTACATCACCACGACCAGCAATGTGCCGGTGATTGTTTTGTTAATAGTCAGGAGAGTCACTGATGAAAACACCCCTTTTCATTTCAAAGGGTTCTGAGACTTAGGGTCTCATTACTCTGGATTTAGAGTGATTAATCTAGGCTTGCATTCTTGGAGGAGTAGAGAGACTAGCAAGTATACTGATGGTACTAGGACGCTGTTTGGGGCCTAGTAAGGATGTTCTGAGGAATTATGTCTGTGTGTCTATGCACACTGAGACAAAGAAAATACCCCACGTGGAGTTTGAGCTGGGTAGGAAACTCCTGTCATCTGAGTTGATTTCTGCAGGTGATGGTGTGGATCCATGGAGGTGGACTGGTAGAGGGCATGGCTTCTGTGTATGATGGATCCATGCTGGCAGCCATGGAGGATGTGGTGGTGATCACTATCCAGTACCGTCTGGGTGTCCTGGGCTTCTTCAGGTGAGTCTGGGGCTGGGCTGGGCTGTACAATAGGGATAAACAAAAATAAGAAAACCTTGTGATTCCTTCTCTAACACTTCTCAGCACTGGAGACAAGCATGCCAAAGGCAACTGGGGCTACCTGGACCAAGTGGCTGCCCTACGCTGGGTCAGGCAGAATATCGCCCATTTTGGAGGCAACCCTGACTGTGTCACCATTTTTGGACAGTCTGCAGGAGCTACAAGTGTGTCTTCACTTGTTGTGTCCCCCATGTCCCAAGGACTCTTCCACAGAGCCATCATGGAAAGTGGGGTGACCCTGGTACCTGTACTTATCTCCAACAATTCTGACATGGTCTACACAGTGAGTCACTTTACCCATCCTACAGATGACCCTAGAGCCTCTATCCCCACCATCTGATACACTGGGAGTTTTCTCAATTGAGAAATCAAGGAGCTTCTTTCAGTAGTTTCTGAGATATCCAAGGGTTAGAATCTACTTCCCTCTACTTTATACAGGCTGGGTGTAAGTATTGTATATAAGTACCTTGTAGTGTTCATTAATTTCTGGAAACAAATATGTGTATCATGAAGATATGGTTCAATAGGTAAAAGCATAAAGACATGAGTTCAAATTCCCCCCAGAAGCCACAAAAAGCTGCATGTGGTGACTAGAGTGTAATCCTAATAATATTATAATGATGAGATGGGAGAAAGAGACCAGAGAATATCTGGAAGGTCACAACTTACATTGACTCTTGTAGGCAGAAAGAAAAAACAAAAGCTCATTTCTCGAGCAAAATAGAAACAAACCACATTTTAAAGTATTGAGGTAGAATAGCCCCTCTATTTGTCACATCTGAGCAATAACAAAATGGGAATATCCAGTTTACGCTAATCCACCAGTCCAAGGTGTGATGTGATATTTGGACACAATGCCATTCAACTGGGATTGTGAAAACTCTTCTGCTTGCCTAAAAGGATGAATCAACTCCTGCCTGGTCCCTTTACAGATAGTGGCCAACTTATCTGGTTGTGAGGCTGTGGACTCAGAGACCCTGGTGCACTGTCTGAGAAACAAGAGTGAAGAGGAGATTCTGGCTATTAACAAGGTTGGAAGATCTGTGTGACTTGGAGGACCTGGTCAATGAAATGTGGGAGAGCCGGCACTTACTACTCTAAACAAATACTTCTGATCCATGGTTTGGTATCCTTTTAATCATGTGCACAAAATGAACACCAAGGTATCCTAATATACAGAGACTCTCTGCATCTTGAGACAGTGAAATGTGGGGGTAATGGTTAGGGTTTCTCGGTGTACATAAAAATATGTATGGAATTGACCTTCAACGCTGACCTTGGATATCCATCAGGTCTTCAAGATGATCCCTGCTGTGGTAGATGGAGAGTTCCTACCCAGGCATCCCCAAGATTTGTTGGCTTCTGTGGATTTTCACCCTGTCCCCAGCATTATTGGTGTCAACAGTGATGAATATGGTTGGCTTCTACCCGAGGTGAGGGACAGTTCAGAATCTTTAAAACTAAAAAGTCTGGAGACTCTTAGGGAGGGTAGTGGAAACTTGATCCATATTCATCCCACCTTACACTGAAAACTTTCTGCTGTCTCTCAGATCACAGGCACTGACAAAACAATAAAGAACATAACAAGGGAGACCCTTCAGGCTGTTCTGAAGAGCATGGCAGCACAGGTGGTGAGATACCTTCATTACTGCCTCCAATAAAAAGGACCCCCAATATTTCCTTCTCAGACAGCATGCCTAGTAAGAAAGGTTCCCAGCACTTATACCTTTCTCTATTCTTCACACTGAGGCTGTTGACTGCCTAACCTCTTTCTCCCTGATATCCTTGTGTAGATGTTACCTCCTGAGTGTAGTGACCTGCCAATGGAAGAGTACATGCGGGACACTGAAGACACCCAGACCCTCCAAATACAGTTCAACAAAATGATGGGGGACTTCATGATCATTAGCCCCTCACTCCAAGTTGCAAATTTTCAGTGTGAGTACAACTATAATGAGGCCAAGTTGGGAGGAACTCCAAGTCATGGGTCCCAGATGAGTTCTATAGTGTCCAGGTTCCTACCCATATCTGAATCATGCCTCTTGTACCATTACATAGGCATTTCTTCATTCTAGTGTAAGAGACAGCTTATCCAGATACAGATGAGAAAACAGGTTGCAAATACTGTATTTATTTGCCAAAAGTACTCAGCTGGGAATAGCATGGTCACTGTTTAGCCAAAGGCTTTTCCATTATTAGTGATCCAGCCTGGATCCACCCACCTGACAATTATGACATGAGATAACTTTATATCAGCATATTATGTCGCCAAGGGTTAGGCAGGAGAGTTCCAGGTGAGAAAATACTATCACTATGTGTCCTCACCTCTAGATTCCCATGGTCCTGTCTACTTTTATGAGTTCTGTTATGACACCAACTTCTTCAAAGATGTCAGACCACCCCATGTGAAAGCTGACCATGGAGACGAAGTTCCCTTTGTCTTTGGGTCCTCCTTCTGGGGCATAAAACGTGAGTCTTCATTGGTTTCCATGAGCTGGATGGGGCCCCAGATGGGTAACTGATGGGCAACTGAGCTCCTAGTTCAGTTGAGAAAATCAAGGCTCTGGGACAGGACATGATCATGTGCATTTTTCCAGGTCAAAAAGCTACTCCCAGATTGGAATCTGGACCCTTCCAACTACAATCTATTGTCTTACTTTTCTATTGCTGTGATGAGGCACTATGAACAAGTAAGCTTATAGAAGGAAGAATTCATTGGAACTCACAGTTTCAAAGGGTTAGTTAAGAGTCTGTGACCATCGTGGAGGGGAGAATAGCAGCATGCAGGCAGGCATGGCCCTGGAGCAATAGCTAACTAAAAGCTTACATCCTGATCTACAAGCGCAGTACAGAGAGACAGTTAACTGGAGTAGACTGGACTTTTAAACCTCAAAGTCAACTTCCAATGATACACCTCATCCAACACATCCATTCCTCCTAATCCTTCCCAAACTGTTCCACTAACTGGGCACCAAGCATTCAAATATGTGCGTTTAGAGGAAGTATATCATTCGAGTCACCATACCTATGCTACATGGAATGAGGACACACTGGAACAGAACTGAACCTGGAGGCATTCAATTACAGGTGTGGGTGGCTCTTGGATCTGAATCTTGAAGGGGGAAGGGAAAGAGGCCTAAAGGTCAGGTTGCAGGAGGGGTGGTGAATGTGGAATGTGAATAGGCAGCTGCATCAGGTGACTGGAATCTGGACCTTTGTCTTCCCCATGGCTACAGCTGACTTCACTGAGGAGGAGGAGCTGCTGAGCTGGAGGGTGATGAAGTACTGGACTAACTTTGCACGATATGGGTGAGAGGATGCCCCCTCCCTCCACCTCCTCAGTGGTGGATCCCTATGAAGGGCTCCTTTTGTGGTTGATGGCTTCATTAGCATGCATGGATAACTCATCACATGATAGAGTCCTCATCATCCCAGGGCACACTTAGATACATTGGATTAGTTACTGGTCATACTGCAGTGACCTGGCAGGTGTTATGGTATTGTTCTTTAGATTTGGGCTCCCAGAGGGAGACATAAAATTGGCCAGGTAGACTTGACCCACATGGAGCAGAGAGTAGCAGGTGACACTAGTGAGGACACATGCCCCATCAACCTCCTCAACCATTGGTCCAATTGGTACACAGCCCTGACACTAATTGAGGAATCAAGCAATAGTTGGGAATGACCTTCACCATTCCTTGTTGGGTGGTATATCCACAGGAACCCCAACAGTGAGGGTCTACCCTACTGGCCTGTGTTTGACCACAATGAGCAGTACCTGCAGCTGGACACCCTGTCTGCCGTGGGCCGAGTCCTGAATGCCAGAAGGCCGGGGTTCTGGGCCAAGATTCTGCCAAAGAAGATCCAGGAGCAAAATAGGGGTCAGGAGAATCACAAAGAGTTCTAGTACCCTGTGAGACCAATGGTGTGAAGGGTTGAGTACACATGGGGTCACCGTAACATCCTTAGAGAATTCTGGTTAAAATGCAACAGTCACAGAACCAACCATCCCTTACAGTTGTCCATTTGGCCAGCATGTATGACACACCCTTGATGTGTCACTCATTACTCAATATGCTGGGACACCTTTCATAAGACCCACACAGTAAATGCCCCAAGACTGTATAGATTGTGATCCCCTAAGTGCCCCCAGTCTTCTTTCACAGTACACTGGGACCCAGCTCCTCCCTTCCTTTCATCATCTGCTTTAATCCTCTGTCCTCTTCCCCAAGCCCCACACATTATTCAATGAAACTGAAGTATTGAAAATATTGACTACATGGGAGTGGCCTGTGTCAAAATCCTATGTTCTCTCAGCAAGTCTCCTGTCTTTCTTACTTGTAAGTAGCCAATAAAGAAACCTAATAACCCAAAGTTCTATGGTTTCATTTCTTCAGGCTGTGATTCCAAAAGTTCACAGATTGCAAGCTGGGCTCTGTAGGTATCTGCGGCCCCTACTATTCAGAGGCTGAGACAGGAAGTTTCATGATTCATACAGTTTCAGGTCAGTATGAGCAACACAACAAAAACAACATCTCATATGTATCTAGAGGACACAGAAATAACAAAAATGTGTATAATTATTTATAAACCAAGAAATTCAACTTCAAATATCATCAGACTTGCTGTGTGGTAAGAGTTAGACCTCTAACTCAAAGATTTTATATTACATCCTCACTGAATAGAAGGAATGAATAATGATACACTTGATCTTCCAAGAGTCATAACTCTTAATAGCATCGGATTAGAAATTAGATTTCAGCAAATAAATTTGATCCCATGGCTTTCAGACCATAGCTCATAGAGGTCTCTGACATCAGCCACAGAGGATGCCAACTGATGAAAAACACCATGATATATATTATAGCTATATATGAAATTTTACAAATGCCTGCAGAAGCAGAGCTAAGCATGTTTGTGGGATTTTCAGTCTGGGTCAGAAGTTAGGGAATTGATCAGAGCTACATGGGTTTCTCAGTGCCAGTTTTCTAAAGTTTTCTCTTTGGATCAGGAGTTCTGCAGACAGTATGGAGTCCACACTTGCTTGATTCCACCACCTCTGTGAAAATACTTGTCTATGGGGTGTGTCCTGGAAATGGGGTGGTGGCATAAGAGATTCCTGTCCCTGGATCTCTGAGCAAGATTCTCCTTGTATGGAAATGCTTACCTGCCCTTCAATGAATTCTTCCAAAGCCTCTTAACATGTTGGTCATCCCTAATCTTCTTGATAGTCCATATGATTGATTCCCTTCGATGTTCCCAACAGCAGCACAAAGTCTCTTGCACTTTGCCATTTACAAAGGTGCCAAATTCTGCTGTCTGTACTTCTGCTCCCTCAAAGCACTTACTCTCTCTTTAAGGGCTATTGTCTTGTGTTCTGCAGGCTCTATGACCTTCCCATAGCTCTACCTCACACCATCTTGCCCTACTTGGACCAGTTTCCCAGAGCAAAGTCCCACTTTCCCATCACTGTACTGAATGCAAATTATAATGTACCATCACCTTTAGGTTAAAAAAAGATTTCGCCGGGCGTTGGTGGCACACGCCTTTAATCCCAGCACTCGTGAGGCAGAAGTAGGGGGATCTCTGTGCGTTCAAGACCAGCCTCGTCTACCGAGCAGGTTCCAGGACAGGCTCCAAAACAATATAAATAAACCCTGCCTCAGAAAAAAAAAGATTTCTGTGTTGCCTACCCAGGACACCAGGGAATAGCTGAGGTTAGTGTTGAGCCTTGTTTAAGAAGCTGAGCAGAGGGTTATTCTCACTGGGGTCTTAGTACACTGTTGAGATTCTGGTGAGACCAGTAGTTGGCTGCACCCCACCAGGCAGTCATATTGGGGTTTCAACCCTGAAGGCTTTCATTACTGAAAGCCTGGTGTCTGCTGACAAACACTTGTCCAATGCAGCTGAAGACTTTCCTGGTTCCTAGAAGAAAAATCAGAGGCAGACAAATAATCGTATGATGACTGACAGCTCATGCTGCATGCCACCCCCGTGGCTCTGGTTTGCCAAGCCTAAGCAAAAACAGAACAATGAAAGCTGGTCTTTGTGCCCTTCCTGCCACGTGTATCCCTGTTGACGGTTGATCTGGATCATCCTAGTCATCCTACCTTCTCACCACTCTCACTCTCAGACACTCTCCTTTTCCTGGTGATAAACTGTAACTGGTTTTTTTTTTTTAGTTTTCAAATTTATAATCTGCTTACAGAGACTTCCATATCAAGATCAATTCATTGTCTTGTCAGTTCTATTTTTTATTATTATTTAGGTTAAAACAATCTTGTTTCACATGTCACTTTACCCTCAGTGTCTGTGGGATTTCATTTGTCACATCTGTGAGACATGAACCAGCATTGGCCTCTGGTGTCAGAAGCTTTTGTGATGATTGCCCAGCACCGTTGCTCCAATACCAAGCTTTCAAAGTGTTTTAATGGGACTCTGTTGCAATGCAGGAGATCACTGAGCCTCACTACTGCAAACCCACTGCCAGGTGGCTTCCATTTCTCTGAATACACAGGACATATCACCAACAGCAATCTCAGGATACCCGTTAGACTCAGTAATTAATATGGTAACTACCCACAGAATCATGTCTCTGGGTGCTTGGCCCATAGGTAGAGTGTAACAAAAAAATAAATAAATAAATAAAAGACCTATAGAGACATATTGGGTTCATTCGTCAAGCTGACGATCAGAAAAGCTAAGCAGCTGGAGACTAGTGTGTGTATGTGTGGGTGTATGTGGGGCTGAGCACACACATGCACAAACACACATGCACACTTGTGCACACATGGCATGTAACACGGGTGGAAGGCAGAGGAAAACTTTTGAGAGTCTGTTGTCCCCTCCTGCCTTGTGGAGCCCAGGGATCACACTCAGCTCATCAGCCTTGGGAACAGCAACCTTACCCACTGAGCCACCTCACCTGGCCTCTCCTCAGACTCCTGTTTCCATTGTCTTTCCATGTCATCTTCCTCTTTCCATGCTCTGACTCTCTGTGTTTCTGTTTCTCTAGTCCTCCAGGTTTCTGTGGCAAGTTTTCCATCACCTCCCAATATACACAGAAATACTCTTGAGTTTCCTCTTCATTGAATAATACATTTACACAAATGTGTGTATGCGTGCATGTGTGTGCATACAGAAATGTCCATGAGAACAAGAAAGAATCCATACAGATTTTCAGACCATGACTATGAGAATTAAGAGACCAGGGCAGGGAACCAAGTAAATCAGGATTCCAGAAACTAAGGAAAGTTCAGGGTTAAGGGGAAAGTTATGGTTTCATGTATTTGCTCTTCCAGTCCGTTCACCCCATAATAGGCATGTCCGTTCTCACTGAAGGTGTGTCACTTCAGAGGAGCCCTTCTGAGTCTCCACTTACAGCAGCTTCACTCTGTCCTTTCATACCCAATGTTATGTTTGGACCTGTGACTGTCACCGGGTAAACTTAAAGACTGCAGGTTTCAGGTGCAGGAAACTGTATTTAAGGGGCTGCAGATGCCTCATGTGCCTTCAGAGGAGGCCAGAAAAATGCAGAAAGTGTGGAGGTGATGACAGTCCCTGTCTGCTGATAGTGATTTCACAAGCCAGCCTGTTCAGTGTTGTTCCCCTGCAGCACATACTTCCCAGGCCCTACCCAGGGCCCCACCTACACTGCTGGGTCCAAACTCCAGCTCTAGTCCTCAGGTGCTGTCTGGTAAAGCCTAACTTGCCCTACAGGATTCAGACACACTCCTGTGCACCACCACGGGACCGAAACAATTTCTCACTCGGCTAACCACTGGGGTCTCTAGGTTCATGCTTCTCCTCCAAGTTCAGGGTGAGGCTCTCATGGGAGTGGTGGGAACCATGTCAGAGCTGCCACATTGTGCAGAGTCAACAAGGAAACTAGGGGAGGAAATGGGCAATGGAGGACTAAAATGGTGAACTTCACTGCTCAGGAACCTTGCATCCCTCAAGAGTCAGAGTGGGCCCCCCAAGCCATAGAGCAGAGAGGCTACCTAAGGATGCCAACCTTCAAGGAAGGAGCTCAGAAGGAGGGGGTTTTGAGGAATGACAGATGAGCAATGCTAGACAACAAGCAGCCTCTAGATAGGGAGTCAGGACAATCACTCCTGGGTTTATGGCTGGAGCTATATGCACAAATTAAACAGCATGAAGATACCCTACATGGCCATTTGACTCTGATGTATCATTTCCTTGGCCTGAGGAGTAGCATGGCCTTCTCAGAAGTTTTCAAGTAAAGTTTCTTACACTTGAGGATACAGGAGCTGAATCCAGCACCTGAAATTGATTCTGAGAGGTCCCAGGGTGCTTTTTTACATCATATATTTGTCCTGGCCTGAGGCGGCTGTGTGACTTGGCATCCAGGAGAAAGATGACAGAACTCTGTGCCTGCCAAGTAGTTTCCACCTTATTTGGAGTTAAGTGGATAGAATTCCTGAACACGCACCTCAGTCATCATTCTCTCCTCTCAAGGGCTCTTCCTGAAGGGACTAAGTCTTGCCAACCTTTTCCAAGTTTCCAATTTCCATAAACCTATTCGTCATGCCTTACCTCCAAAGGCCTTTCTCCCTCACCTCATTTGACATTGCTCTCAAAAGTCACCAGGACCTTCCAGGTAAGAGATCTGCCTACACTCCCTAATGGCTCCCATTTTAAATAGTGGTTGAGTTGAGCCCGTACCAGGAAACACCATTAACAACTCACAGGAGAGCACAAACATGGATCCACCCTCTTCTGTCTCATCAACTCTTGGTTCTTCTACAGGAAACATAAGGTCCCTTGGACTTATACACAGGTTTCAGGAGTTTGTCTAAGAATAGATAGAGCTGTTAACCCTTGATTTCAACCGAAATACTTACAAATCCACTCCATTTCTGTCACCACAATTAGTCTTCCTAGCAAGGAGATCACCTCACGCTACTACATGCTGGAACTCCCTAGTACCATTCAATGGGAGGCTTCACTTCAAAGATAATCAGTTAATGCAACAAATCTAAAATCATGAATATTGTATCATATTCTTTTCCATTGATATAACGATGGACCTGAGGCCTCAGTAGCTGGTAACTAAAGTGAAACCCATGAACAGAGATCTCATTCCCCATGAAACACTGTGTCAGCAGCATGTGACAGAGTAGAAGGTGCCTTTTGACTTGGATATCTTAGTGGATTGGATAGCCATGCCAAACTTCCTGAAGCCACATAAGGGCCAAAGGAACAGTCTTTGTTCAGATTGCAATTTAGAGTTTGAAAATTTATTATCAGGTGGCTCACTCTAGTGAGGCTCTGCTCAGGGTCTTCTAGCTATGTCACAACATGCCAATGGCATTTCACAGGAGGTGTACACGGGAGAGAGATCTCATGGTAAA